AGGTGGAGAAAAGCTATGAAAGCTGCTCCGATCTTCTTTCCGTGTCCTCCGACAGTACAGCCACCGCCACTGAGCTTGAATCCAAGTACAGTGAGTGCTACTCCGTATATTCGAGGTGTCTTGTACAGCTGCAGGAAATTATCGACAAGGCCGCCTCCCAGTCCATTCAGGCTTCCGCCCCTGCGCCCACCCCCCGCATTATTCTAAAGTGCCAGTGCTAAATTAATTTTGTCGTTTATTTATTTTCATATAATAATATACACTCCTGCCCACAATTATACGACACCCCCAAAACTTTAGTTTCGACCCTCGTAGGAATGTCGGTAAGCTTATTACAACAAAATCAAGTATGCAGAATTGAAGCTCAATGAATTCTGCCTAAAATGTGATTTTCTTATCACTGATTAGAGCTTGCGTTTTCAAGTAGCGGTAAAAAGAACAGAAAAGCCCGATTTTTGCCATGCCTGAAACTGTATCAAAGCTATACGACACATGCGAATTTCTTTGATTTAGTTAATATTTTATTCTTATAAAAATATACAAACAATATTTAATAACTAATAGAGCCACCTTGAGCCTTTCCTACCTCAAAAAGTCTTTTAGGCATTGAGTTACAGTGGATCCCTTTAATATTCGGTTTTTTGTTTTTACAACTTCAAATCCGAATACAACGTATATCATTAGGAAAAAATAACATTTAAAAAATTGTATCTTAAAGCTTGTAATATTACCTTTCCATAGATATATAAATGTTCAAACTTTTATTTTGAATTTAAGAAAAAAAAATCTAAAACAAAAGAAGGCTCAAAATTTACCTAACTTTAATATTCGGTATTATTTGGATTTCGTATTACAAAACCCCGTAGCCACTCTAAAAAGCCAAAATTCGCGTAGAAAATGGGTTTCGCAGAAAACCCAACATCGACAAGCATTTACTGAGAGCAAAATAAATTAAAAACATTGAGTTTTATCCCCAAATTTTAAAATGGGCCGCAAAGGCAAAAATTCATCCTTGAAGCAACGAAAACTTGTCCTCCAGTTACATTTAGAGGGCAAGACATATAAGGAAACTGCCCAAATCCTAGAAATGAAGCCGAATACGGTCGGTGACATCGTCCGAAGATTCAAAAATGAGGGAAGAGTGGCTTCAATTAAGCAAACGGGACAACCCAAAAAATTAATCGATCGCGAAGAAACCGAAATAGTCCGCAAAGTTAACGAGAATCCTCGACTAAGTGCTCGGGAATTGAAGGTGGAACTCTTTGCTGACCACGGGAAGACCGTTTCCGCGTAAACCATTCGCCGTACCATAAAAAGACAAGGGTACAACGGCAAAGTGGTTAGGAAAAAGCCGTTACTGTCTGAGCGCAACCGGAAGATAAGGAAGAATTTCGCCCAGGAGTACTCCATGAAGGACCAAAGCTGGTGGGAAGATATCCTTTTCTTGGATGAAAGCAAATTCAACTTTTTTGGCAGTGACGGCAAGACCATGGTTTGGCGGAAGCCAAATACTGAGCTGCATAGAGAGCATCTTAGGCAAACCGTGAAACACGGCGGTGGAAGCGTGATGATCTGGGGCTGTATTTCCACCAAAGGAGTCGGTAATCTCGTTTATATTGATGGGATAATGAACCAGGATCAATACCTGAAAAATTTGAAGGAAAATTTAAAGCAATCAGCTGAGATAATGGGCATTGGCAACACCTTTAAGCTGTATCAGGAAAATGACCCGAAGCACAAGGCTCATAAAGTCAAGTCCTGGTTGCTCTACAACTGCTCCAATGTTTTGGAAACGCCGCCCCAACCCCTGACATCAATCCCATTGAGAATTTGTGGAGTGAGTTGGACCGCCGTGTCCACAAAACGCCGATTTCGTCCATATCGGACTTAAAAAAACGGCTTCAGGAGGACTGGGCCAAAATAGGAGAAGAATATAGCAAAAAAATAATAGAAAATATGCCAAAAAGGTTAAACGATAATCTTAAAAATAATGGTTAACATACCAAATATTAAATTGCTTTAATTTTCATGAAAAACTATGTTCTTTTTAGTTATATAGGTTAAAACCGAATATTAATGTTACTCAGATTTTGAAGTTGTTTTTGTTTTTTTATGTTTTTAGTTTTAATTTGAATTAAAACCTTAGATATATGCACCTCTACGAATAGGTAATGAAACAAGCTTATATTTTCCATTTTTTAAATTGGGTTTTTTGTAAATCTTATACATTTTAATCGGGTTTAAAGTTGAAAAAACAAAAAACCGAATATTAAAGGGATCCACTGTAACTAAATTTTTAAGCAAATTTTGGTCTAAAAAAGACCATTGAGACAAAATTTCGCTTTGGAGGCTAAGATACCCCAAATGTTCTCAATTGGGTTTAGGTCCGGGGAGCACGCTGGCCAATCCAAAACATTTATGTTGTTACCACTTAAGAAGCGCTGGGTCTCTCTGCTCTTGTGGATAGGTGCATTGCCTTGCATAAAAACCAGATTTTCTCCAATGTTTTCTTCATAAAACGGCAGAAGACGGTCTTCTAATATACTCTCCACTGTTCATCCTGGAGCTTGTGAATCGCAAATCAAGCGTTCCAGATGCATAAAAGGCTCCCCAAACCATTGTGGAACCGCCACCAAAATTGCGTTTGGAAAAAAGAAGTGAATCCTTTCGCAAATCTCTCCAGTAGTGCTGATATCCATCTGGGCCGTCAAGATTAAACTTTTTTTCATCATAAAAAATTACCTAAATCCAAAAAATTTTTCAATTTTTACCAGTTTATTTAAAATAAAGTTAAAATGTCATACCGAGGCCCAGTTTCTCTGCAAGTTTTTCTCTACAAATTGAAGTCGTGCTGTTTTGTGGCGCGGCTTTAAGGACGGAGCCTTCTTTAATAGTGCTCTGACAATGCACTCAGATGATCGCAGCGTACGCCAAACAGTCATTCCTGACACAGGCTTGCTGCAACTTGCGGCAAGTGTGGAGCACGATGCAAACGAATTGCTGGCGTTTCGAATTATGAGGCGTTTATCTGGGGTTTCGTCCAGAGCTATTGTTATGTCCCTTGAAGGACCTGTGTGACATTTGGGCTAGATTCGGCTAGCTCTGTCCTCGGGCCGTAGGTTCCCTAACCCTTGCCCGTCACACACAACAATAAACATCGAGAGTCGACGTTTGACAACACTATAACACGCGCGGTATACATTTAAACACACAAAACCAATTCCATGGCCTCTCACACACACTGACCTAAATACTCCTCCTGCTGGACTGGAGGCCACATGCTCATCCCTTCCCTACCGTGCAGTCTGTTCGCATGTTCTTTAATGTTTTTCTTTTACAGCTGCCCCTTGACAAACACACACACACAAACTTACCCCCTCATTCCCCCGGTTCACCCTCTTCCTCCCAAATTAAATTCTATTCCATGTTCATGTTTTCTATTTCAGCTTATATTTAACAATCATAATCTTAAATTTTTATATTCTTGATGCCAAGTGTGGTTTGCTTTTGAATTTATATGTTGATTTCTTGTGTATATATATATTTAATTGTTCATTTTATAATACGCACTTGGTAAAGTAATCAAATTCCCACTGTAAAGATATGCCGACCTACCCGTAAGAGCTCTCAAGGGGGGTTCGCGGGGAAAAATATACGAAATATAGAAGACGAGAAATAAATATGCCACACAAAATTTCACCAACCAAAAATTATACAATGGTTGTTACCAATTAAATAAATAAATAACTCTGGCAAGAATATAAATTAACATAAATAAATAAATAAATAAGAACAAAACAAAAATATAAATAAATAAATAAATATGGACAAATAAAAAAAATAAATAAATAAATAAATAAAAGTTGATAAATAAATACGCAACTAAATCTACAATGAATAATGGAATAAAATATTAATTAAAAATTGTTGCGAATAAATATATCTATAAAAAATATTTGATGAAAAAATACACAGAAAAAAAATATCTACACACTAAAACTGGATCTAAAACAAAAAAAAATTCTGAAGCCTTCTGGCTCCCGGTGTCGCCACTTGGGAGGCGTGTCGGCCTTCCACGACGAAAACAACGAATAAAGGAATACCCTCTTGCAACATGAAAGTTACTGGCGACCGCTCTAGGGGCATCTATGCCTCCAAAGTATATTGTCGGTTTCGCCGCCGTTGGGGTTAGGGCGAGCCTATATCTTGGAGTCACTCCAATCCTGAAGAATCCTCAAAAATCCTCAAAAACTGGGCCAGGTCCGTTTAATGACCTGGCCAATCTCGTCCTGCGAGGACTGGGTCTGGTCGAGTCTTTCGGTTTCCTCGATCCGGCTTCCCGTCCTCGCTTCCTTTCTTGTCCCTGGGTTGGTGGTTGGAGTTAGGTTTAGAACTGCACTAATCTCGTTTTATTTAAAACAAATTGTTTTATTTAATATACGATATTAAATTTTCCGCGCACCCGCGAAAATTTTCAAATTTTCGGCCGTACGCACTGCGCCTATTCGCTCCCGCTGAATCGATTTAAAAATGTACTATCACCCTTCTTCCTTTCTCCCTCTTTCTTTTAGTACGAACCCCGATGTTCCAGCTTCAAACCATTCCGGGTCAAGAACCTTGGTGGAGCTCAGATATTCCCCTCTCTTCGGAACGGGGTGGCATCCCTGTCCGATATTGCTTACGTTGTTACACGATATATCGGCAGGCACCGCTTAGCTCTACTTCGATTATCCTAAGTGGCCATAACACTATGCTTTACACCATAGTCTTCCGGGTTTTGCAAAAATTTGGTGATAACACAACGTGTCCGACCAATTTTTCGCGATATTTCGCTTACATTAAAGCCAGCATCGTTGTAGGCTTTAATTCTTCCCTTTTCTTCGTCGGTTTGCAAACGTCCACGCGGCATTTTATTACAAATAAATTAAATTGTTAATATAAATAAAAAAAAATTATTTGAAACCAAACTTTTCTCTGTAGCCGCAATAATTGAAATTAAATTCACAATGATGTAGAAATTTACATTCATGAGCCCAAGCAATTACAGAGAAATAACCTAATTTAAATCTAAACAAAAAAAGGATATACGTATGTGGCTGCGCTGCAAAGGCCGGTTGTGTTTGTAGGGTTATAACCTGTTGGTTTAAAAATCGAACGTCTCGTCTCAGCCCCTTCCCCTGATTGGAGCTCCAAGTAGGTAGGATGTTGTGCTGAAGGAAATGACGGTCCGTTAGTATAATTATTTACAATTTATGTACTCTTATCCCCGTTCGAAATAATCGTTGTCCTCACAGTTGTTCGCCGTTCTTCTTTTTTCGTCGTCGCTTGATTGGTGTATAGCAGGCGAAGTCCGCCTGCCAAGGGGAGATCCGCCGAGGATGAGGTTCCGGATCTCTGGAAGGAAGGGGCGTCCGGGGCGACTACAAGTCTATATCTGAGAGAGAGAGAGAGAGAGAGGTGTAGTAGTGTTGCCGTTAGGTGTTGTTTAAATATAAATTTTGTTTACCTTTTTTTTGTCGTTTGTTATTTGTGTTTACGGATTCCAGATCAGCTGGAATTATATGGTGCGACCTGTGGGCAGATGGGGAAAAATCCCACTTGAGAGAAAACTGGCTAGCCGGCCTTGCCCCATCGGGAAATTGCAGCTCGTAACAACCTTTCGACCTTGTCTAAAGCACATTTTTTACGGTGCTTATATTGTACCACACGATTTAATTCGTAAAAATTAATTAAATATAATCTTAAATATTTATACATAATCCAAGTTATTTTAAAAAGGGCATTCTGAAGGCGCACAGTAGCGCTTGTTCTCATTTAAGCCTAGTACTCTGACGAGAAAAACCCGCTGTCTAAATTAGACAGCGGAATCGCTGTTTATTTCGCTACCGAGCTAGTTTGACCAAAAAAAATAAGGAAAATGCTGAAATGCCATGAAAATGTACTTTTTATGGCGTTTAAGGATTTTCTTTGGTCACACTGGACAGCTGTTTGTAAACAAATATTCAAAAAAAATATTAAAAATATTAATAAATATGGCATTAAAATGTCCTTTGTGGGTTAAATTCCATATTATGGGCTTCCCCTTGACAGCCCCTATCAGTGCCACCGTTTTCCTTCAACTTTCCCTCCATTAGGGGTGTCTAAATAAATCAAATGAATTATTTAGACAGCGCGATATCAGCTGCTTACTATCTTGATCTGGCAACGCCATTCAATTTTCGCAGGCTTCATTTTCGTCGTCAGAGTACCGGAAAAAACGACGTGGCTAAAAGTTCTTCTTCTTCTTTTTTCGACACCGTTTTTTTTATATGGAGTTTGGCCGCTGTCTAAATTTATACAGGGGTTTTTTTCTCGTCAGAGTACTAGGCTTTAGCGTTGTAAAAATCTCATCTTTTGAACCAAATAAGGTAATCGAATAATTTAAACGGCATTAGGCAGGTAACTGTTGTAAAATAATATAAAAATGCATAATGTACCACGCTTATAAATTCGCCTAATTTACCCTTTTTTTTTGTGATGCAAAAAAAGGAAAAAAAGTTCAACGTTTGATACGGAACTGCATATTCCCTGGGCAATGCCCAGGGGGGGTAGGAACCTATGCCCGCAGTCCGCACAACAAAATACCGATTAATCGGACGTCTCACAAAACTCCTCACTAACAAATAACACATCTCTAACAAATAAATGTAAACAAACCAAAAAAATGACGACTTTTGCGGAATGGTGGCATAGATGGAGTCGCCACGACGCTCCCGCCCAACCTGTGGTGCCTCCGGTGTGTCTAGGGGCACCACCCATCTCCGGTTACTCCACGGGCTCTTGCTCTCCTCGATGACTCCCAGCGCCAGCATCTTGTCGACCTCGTCCTCGACCACCTTCTGCTTCGCCTTTTCAAAGGTGAGGAACATTAGCTTGATCTCCTCCAGCTTCCGGGACTCCGCCTCGGATAGAGACCAGGATTCGTCTTCTTGGTCGGCGTAGTGTTCCATTTCCCTGGCGTGGAAGTCTTCGGCCTTCATCACGCTGTTTGTCGGTACTTCTCCCACTACGGCCGGAGCCAAGCCAAACGCTCGCCAAAAGTCGACTCCGAAATATGCCGGCTGCTCAAGGTAAGGGCAAAGATAGAAAAGAATATTCTCTACCCTCCCTTTGTATTCCCCAGGTAGCTTCAATCGCCCGATGATCGAACGATCCTCGCCTGCGGCCGTACGCACCACCGAGAAATATCTTTGTACAGGCACACCCAACGCCTCCACCAGTTCCCTACCGCCTTTGCCGAGCAGACTGACACTCGCTCCGGTGTCTAACAGACCCGTCAGCTGCTGGCCTAAAATGGTTATCCCGGCGAAGGGCCTGGAATCGGAGATGCTGCCCCGCTGCACTGCTGCGACGACTTCCCTTCGCTTTTCCCGACGCTTTCGAAACCGCTCTCTGGCCTTCCGAACCGTTCGGGATACCTGGCGCATTCCGCACAGCTGGTGTTGTTTAAAAATTCTATTTCTAGCTTCTAAATACCTCCGCATGCGCTCCTCGTAGGGTAAGTACCTTAATATATTTTTATTAATAATCTTAACGCCTATTTGTCTCCCTTCAGGCTCTCCTACATCGCGGGTTTCCGTCCTGGGCGAGTTCCTCCCGCTCTCGCATCGCCCAGCCGACCGTTTCCCGCGCAATTCGGACATTTTGGGGCAACAGTATCGGCCTTTCCACATCGGAAGCAGAACACTTTTCGCAGCTCCTGCTCGCAATCGCGGAATCCATGGTCTAACGCTCCGCAGTTCCAGCATCCAGCTCGGAACGGATTCCGTGGCCTCTTCCGGACTTCCTCGACTTCCGGCGGGTGCACCTCCTCGTCTGGCTCCGGTCCAGCCACCTCGCTGACCCTGCTCCGCTCTCCTGCCGGATGGCGCGTCGCTGGAGGAAGGAACGGGGTGCGGCTCCTGCGTCCAAAACTGCGCTCGACCTCGACGGCCTCCTGCCGCAACTCATCAACGGTGAGCAGCTCCATCGCGTAGATAAAACGCGCGATTCCCTCTCGCAAACCCTTCTTCATCACTTTCACCAAGTGCCGCTCTGGCATTGGCCTTTTCAGGCGAGAAGCAAGGGTCTGCATGGCGTGCAGGTAATCGTCTACGCCCTCTCCTGGCTGCTGCTCCCGTTGCAAGAGCAGGTGCATCCTTTGGTGCTCCGTCTCGTGGCTCTGGAACCTGTCAAGCAGCGCTCGACGCAACTGGCTCCAATGGTCCAGTCTATGCTGCTGAACGTGGATCCAATACCACTCCAACGCCCGTCCCGACAGCAACGTGTGGAAGTTTCGCAGAACTTCAGCCCACGGACAACGAGTTTGGCGTTGGAGGTACTCCAGACGGAAAAGGAATCCCTCGACGTGGTTCCTCTCATCCTCGCCACTAAACGAGATGTTCCAGCGCTCCACCCTGGTGTACTGCGCACTGCCTCCCGCTACGTCCCAGTTGGAGTACGTCCGCTCATCTTGGAACTCGCCCGCGCGGCGATCTTCCACTCGCCAATTCCGACGTCCGCCCTCGTCCCGACGGATCTCCTCGACTTCAGTGGACCACCCTGGGCTGCTGCAGACTGTCTCTTCCTGGTACGCGGTTCTCTTGGGTGGCTTCGGTGGAACACGCGGAGGTGTCCTTGCCGCTTGCCCACTGACCGTCTGGTGGCTCCGCGGTATGGCTCCACGAGCGCCCTGGGGTCCCTCCGTCGGTCGTCCCATAGGAAAAGGCTGCTGTGGCCGTCCCTCTGGCAGAGGCTGCTGTTGCTGTTGGGCTGACGTCCGCTGCGGCTCCTGCTGGTGAGTACCTGCCGGTCTCAACACCTGATTCATCAGATGCATCATCTCCAGGAAGCCAGCCCGCAGCTCGTCCCGCAAACCTTGGCCGATTCCCGCCTCCTGGGACTTGCGGTACGTCTCCGCTGCCTGCGCCAGGGCGAGGTTCACCGCCGACGTGATCGTTGAGTCCACAGGAGGACTCTGGAAGCGTACCTCCTTCGGGGGGGATTCCGCCTCCAACAGCTTGTCAGCTGCTGCCCCGATCGCTTCAAACTCCAGCGACTTGAGCTGCTTCGGCTCCTCTGGCTGCTCCTCTGCCCGTCGTCGCGGTGGAGTCCTCACCAACCCGGTTGAGAACCGCGGCGGCGCGTACCCAGCAGCACCTTCCGCGTCCGTGGACCACATTTCTTCTTCCTGGGCTGAAGGACCCTTCGATCTAAGGTCGTACCTGTCCTGCCTTTCCTCTGCCATTTTTTTATTAACTCCTAAATTCTGAAACACCTAACAAATTTATAACAACAACTACCCAAATCTCTAAACAAACACCTAACACTGAATAAATAAATATATATGGTAATAATTAAATAAATAATAATAATAATGATATAAATAAATAAATAAAGCAAGATAAATAAATAAATAAATAACAACAAATAAATAAATAAATAACCAAAAATAAATAAATAAATAAAAGGAAGCAAAATAAATAATTCAATGAATATTTAACTTTCCATATATAAATATATAACCAGTCAACTAATTTTTCTTTCCTTCTTACTTCTTAGGGGAGATGGACCGGATCACCCGCCGGTGGACTCCGCGCCAGATGTTCTGCGTCTCCAATTCCTTCCTGTCGTCCCTACTCCGGCCGCTCGTCAACTGGACTAACTTTCAGCTGTGCTGAAAGTCGCCAGTTAAGGACTTCGGCCTTCGCAGCATCCCGTAGGATTATCCTGGGCGAACGCGGCTTAAGGTTCACCTTGTGGCGTGGTCGTGCAACGCGCAGTGAATCCTGCGGGTCACGACTCCCACCTCCAAGACGATCCCAAAAGCCACCCTCACCAGGAAAACCCAAGGATCCGCACAAAATTACGTTAACAAAACAAAAATTACCAGACTTTACGTTAATAAACAAAAAATTTAACATGTATCCCTATCAATTATATCACAGCTTTTAATTTATCACAGCGTATCGCGTGCTTCCTGCACGGGTCTGTGCCCGAGGGATGCAAATCCGTCGTCCTACGCCCGGATGCCACCACCTCTGCACAGCAAAACAGCTGCGAGCTGTGACTAGGAGCAATTGTCCGCTCTCCTGCGGCACAAGCCTCCCGTCTAGACAAAAACCAAAAGAAAACGATAAACAAAAAATGCCTCCGCCTGGACCACCAGTCTCCATGTCTCTGGTGCAATTGCAGGCCGTAATATAGGCCTCGCAAGCCACCCTTCGTGGAGGCTGGATAGCCCAGGACGTGACTGGACAAGACGTCCTCATCCCGATGAAATTTTTTTTTTTTTTTTTAAATTGGGCGCCATATTGTTGTCTTTGTCGGCGTACAATATTTTCTTTTGTGGCCGTATAAGTTTTATCTTGGCGCGGTACATTTTTATTTGGACCCCCTAATATGTTGATGCCGCAAATTGGTTTGTGCCGCTAAATTTTATGCCACCACCAATTTCTATGGGCCTATTCGCTGGCCGAAACATTTAATCTAAAATTCTGGGAGGGAACCAAACAGCACGTGTGCCCATATTTTGTCCAGCGACTGTGGTCGTAACCT